CCATGTCATGTACTATTATAGCGCTAATAGCTTTTCTGATTTAGACAGAAGTTAATTCTCTGTCCTCCCACTTTTCAGTGTCGTTTTGCTACTTAAGTACCTGGTTAAGTTGAACACATAAGGAGATACTTTAGCTTTTCAAGAGCCGATGTAAACTTTTTATTTCTATTGCCCTAGTCCTTCTAGTCTCTGTAGGAAATGTTATGTTAATGGTTAGTAGAGGGCCAGATGCCATTTCTTTGAATTCTTCAAAATCATAATTTTATTTTTTAAGTCCTTCCCCTTTCCAGAACTCAGAGCCTATGGTGCATTTTGGACTTGAATAGTTCAGACTAATTGTGAATAGTAACTTGCTGCAGATAGATTTCTCACACCTACCCGGTGATCTGCATGGACCTAACAGGCGCAGCCTCTGATATGAAAGAAAGTCATAGCTGATCTCAACAAAGAGCTACAGATACAGAAACATCACAACATTGTTGCCCCCCAAAAATGTTTGCACCCTAAAATGATCATAAAAAAAAAGGTACTTCCCACAGTATTTTGATTTATTTAATTCTGTATATGTAATTGTGATTCATAATTTTTTGCTTTTTATCACTCTGATATAAGGTTCAGGAGAGCAGGATGCATAGTCTGTAATGTAGTGTGCCTTAGCTTACTGGAGTTCTTTCAAATTTTGATAGTTTTTTTCTGAGCTAACACTGTTAACACCGAGTTAACACTATCTCAGGTAACTGAAATATATTCTACCTTAAAATTCCTGATATTCACTACCAACATTTAACTCACTCCTAGCATAGATTTATCTGGAAATTAATTTGTATGTAACCAAGTATCACCGTCAGCCTATGGTGAATACATGTGGTCCATGTTCTGCAAATTAATCCTATGAATCATGAGCCAACTAAGAATGGGTTAAATACCTAAAAAAATAACTTCTATATAAATTTTTTTTGTAACTGCTAACGGTATTTGTTGAATAAATTATTTCATATCATAAAATTATATAACAGTTTAGGCTGGAAGGGACATCAAAACCCACCTAGCCCCAACCCCTGCTGTGGGCAGGGCTGCCCCCCACCAGCTTAGGCTGCCCAGGGTTCCATCCAACCTGTCCTTGAGGCTTGCTCTTGTCCCAGTTTTTGTATTGGTTAAAATAGTCATTGTAGTTAAATTGTACAACCTTAACCTGAAAGAAAATACACACGATTTAAGGATAATTTGAAAACCTAGTATTTTGCTCTTGGAAATTAAATATTCTAGTTAACCAGATATTTGTGGATATTTAAGATTTTCTGAAAATTACTGAATTTTATGTGGTCTTGTAGCACTAACCTATGTTCTGGCTTTCCTTTCAGTAAATTAATATATAAATGCTTATTTCTTCCACAAAGACTGTTTCTAATTGTCTTGGATTATAGCAAATGCTTTACAGTAGATGGAATATAATGTTATAGATGTTCTCCTTTTTTTGATTCTTGTTTTGTTTTGTTTCGTTTTTACTCTGCTATCTTGATGGCTCCTGTCCGAAAGGATTATGTGATAATGCCCGCAACGTTTTCCCCATTGAGCCCAATGAATTTTCATCATGTAATGATGAAATTTTCATCATTCAGTCTCTTCTGCCACATAACCACAACCAACATGGACTACACGAAGCACTTGAGTAATCAGCTTTTTCACAGAGTAAGGGTTTTCTCAATTACCGATGATAAATGAAATTGAAGAGTGATACAGCCCACCGCTTTCATTTAAATCCTACTTCAAACAATTAAGAACATTACAGAAAGTAAAGTTACAGTATGTGTGGACTTCAAGTAACTTCAAACAAACTCAATTTAAGTCATTGGCTGTAAAAACTTACCTTGAATCATAGAATCATAGAATTGCTCAGGTTGCAAAAGACTTAAAAATCAAGTCCAACCACAACCTAACCATACTACCCTAACTCTAGGAACCCTCTGCTAAATCATGTCCCTGAGCAGTGATCGCCAATTCATATGCAATGTGTATATGACCCTGAGGTTAGGTTTTCTTTAAACTAAATAGTTGATCTGACAAACTAAGTAAGGATAAATTATTTCATCTTGTACTGGAGTAAGACAATTAGCTAGCTCTGGAGAGACATTTACTTTTCGTAAATGGCAGTATTACCTTTGCACTGATGTTGGTCCATATCACAAATGCTTTTCCTGGCATTTATCTTTCGAGGCAGTGGAGTTAGTAGATCATTGCACAGTATTAAATAAGGTTTAGAATAAAGATGAGCTAATGTGACTGTTTTACACAGGAATGATATTCAATTTAAATTAGATTTTTATCTCAACAGAAAAGTAATGGAAGTTTAAAAAATTATGCATGCATGGTGAAGTATCTATTAAGATATTACACTCACTAACCTGTAACAGAATAAGGTAATTCATTCAGAAGACACGATGTAAAGTACTACCAATTTTAAAATAGAGGATTATTTAAAAGTTTATTTTGAAAATAAACATTAAAAAAATTCCTATTCTTTCATGATATATATACAGTAGTATATATTCTATTAACAAAATACGTGTTAAAACCAGCCCTCTAATAAAAGGCACTGGAACTGGATATTCATATGGTGATGACGTTACAGAGCTGTGACTGAATGCAGCCTATATGTGAAATACTGTAAATACTGTATAAGTGCATAGAAGAGAACAAAGACTGGGTCAAGAGGTTTACAGTTTAATGACATTAAACTTCTTCCCATTCAATAGCTGCAACACGAGTACAAAACTGCTTGACACAATATTCATTACATGTACTTTAGCAATAAAAGGATAACCATTAGAACAGTAGTAAAACTGTAGGAAGGGGGATCTGAAAGATAAGAAAGATAAACATGACCAAATCAAATGTTTTCAGTGGCAAACATGAAACTGATAGTTAACAAAACAACAGCAACAAATCAGAGAGACACTTTGACATCCTTTTAATTCTCTTCTACATGTTGTTTTAGTATGAGATGACTGTAAAGAAAGTTTGACATGGAGAAAGTTCACTACTCTTGCCCGTGGCCTATTTTCTTTTTTCTTTTCTTTTTTTTTTTTTAACATTGACCATAATTAATTGGCAGAATATGTAAGTAGCTAGACAAATTAAGAACCTATACACTTGCTATGGTTGATGCTATGGTTGATGGCATTTATGCTAAGTGAATTTTTTTTGTGAGGAGTGATTGGTGGTTTGTATGGACACTGTTGCTGCTCTCTGTAGACCAAATCCACTTGGAAAGAAACAGAGCTCTCAGACTGAAAAGAACAAATGGGCCACAAAGCTAGCTGTGTTACAAGTGGAGTTGTTAGCCAAGTGCTTAAGGGGAAAACTCTTGAGCTTTAAGGTTGACTCTTGGACAAATTCACAAACTGATTGAGGGTATACATAGCCTTTCTGACTCTTTTTTCATTGGGTGAAAGTGTCACTGATCTTAGGTATCATGGTTATAACTACCAATGATTGTTCTAAGGATGATTTAAGTGGGAGAAATATTACATAAATTGCAACTGTTGTATTAAATCCTTGTGTCTCGGAGCAGAGGACAAAGGTGATCCTACAAGCCATGACTGTAGTTCAGTGCAGTGTGATGCAAAAGTGTAGCACCAAAAAGCCTGCTCTAGAACAAAAACATCACTTCTGCACAGTGCAGTGCTGTGCTACATATGGGAAGGCAATATTTTGGGAATTTGGAAAAATCACTTGTTTAACATGGCTTTCCTGCCTTTAAAGTCATGAAATCTGTTTGTTCTTTTGTACTATGAATATATGCCAAATGTACTATATACCTCACTTGGATAAATATATTTTATTAGATCTGCATCGTCCCATATTTTTTATTCAATGTCCCCTTCAAGTACTTAGAAGCAAATGTGGCTGGAACAGTACTCCTGGAATTGGAGGTTGCAAAGTGCAAATAGATAGTAATGCGTGCCTTCAGTGGGCATGCAACACTTCATGCAACACTTTGCATAGTACGAAGCTAAACGTAACAATACATCATTTGAAATCAGTGGGATTTAGTCATTCTGTTGTTTTGTTTTGCTTTGATTTTTTTCTTTATTTTTTTATTTATTTTTTTTTAAGGAAAAGGAGAATGCAAAACAAAAGACACGCAGAAGAATATACTTTTTCCCAGATGTAATGACAGGAAAGATAATGCTAGACTTGAAATAAAGATCTGCCTTCTAGAATTAAAGTGATAGATCCTGAAAGAAAAATGACTGAAAGATCTGCAGTGGTTACTTTTTAGCAAACAAAATTCTGCTTCAGAAATGTAGGAGATAGACAGCAGTGTAGAGTTCAGATGCATAAAGGTTGTACTCCTTAAGTACGCATAGATGGGATGTGTATTAAGAATAAGAATCACATACTCAGTAGGAATATGTTGCTCAAGCATTATGGGATATGACATAGAAACATATGCTTCATTTCCACAGACCGGTTATAATCAAAAAGCAAATGCAGAGTGTCATTTTCAATTCACATAAATATTCTTCAGAACGGAGATTTTAACAAGAAGCTGCAACTCTCTTATGTGTACTTAAAGCTCTTTTTTCTCTCCTTTTTCTTTCCATTACTTTAGTGCAGATATTCCAGCATTTGATAGTACCTTTATGATCAATATCCGAGCTGCATTTAAATCGTACACTATAAACTTGAGGCATTTATAATGTGTAGTGGAATAATTACATTTGAACAACATACAGAGCTATGGGGTTTACTATATAAGAAAGGATTTTAGATCAGCTAGGATAAGAAATTATTTGCCTTTGTTGTGCCTGGTTCTGAATTCCTAAGATTAAATATGATTTTCAGGATGTCCAGGACAGCAGTTCTGTGTTATTTCAGTTCCTTACATGAAATAGTTATAAATGTCTTTTGAAATCATTGTAGCATGGTAAATCACTGTCAACACATTTCAAGGTATTTGATCACTGGCTGTATTTTGGCACGTTTTCTATTTTCAGACACAGTCAATGCAGTGGACATATGAAATCAATGGACTGCTTCCACGGACTGCACCACCTACAAGCCCAGCAAAAGTCGTTTCTACCAACAGCTACATAAGATCAGTCACAGTTCGACAGCGCAACTTTTTACGTGAGAATCTGAAGCTTGTAACCACGGGGGTATCCTCACCTATCAAAGGGGCACCTTTAACCCTGAGAAAAAAATAGAGAAAGTTGAGCTGTGATTTTTCTTTTGCTTCTTTTTTCATTTTATGGGGGAGGAGGGGAATGAAGTAGATGCCTTTGTCAAATAAACATCCATCAGTGACTTTATACGGGTGTTCAGGCTTTCTTTGCTCTTAATGTACTGTTAGATCTATGCTGTCACGCCTTATAAGATCACTGGATGGATAACACCTACCTTCTTTTTTCACTGGAATTGTTTTTGCTGACTTCACTAACAGAATGTAAATTTTATTTGTGCCTTTATTTTGATGGTGGAGTGTACTTCAATAACAAAAAAACCCAACGGCTTGGCACAGAGTAAGTGCTTTCTTGGCACAAATACAGAATGATCATCACTGCTCAGGAATGGGGAGCCTGAGAATAACCTATGCAGGTTGGTGTGAATGAGTTACCAATAAAACCATTTTACCGTGTGCTTGAGGATTTTGTTTTTGCCACACATTTTAGAGAAGCTATTAGAGAAAATGTTGGGAACATATAAAACAGTGATGGCACTCTTTAATCTCCCATTTTAAATGCAGTGTGCCCTGTTTTGATCAGAAACCAGATAATCTCAAGTAAGAATAAAATTTCCCTTTCAAATACAGTACGCAACACAGGAAAGGCATTGCCAATAATGATATCTGGTATGTTTCTAAGAAAGAATAAGAAAATCTTACATTTCAGTTATATTCTACTGGGAACACAAATATAGCTAGATTTCTTAGGAATGCTCTATCTGCATATGTAATTGAAGGAAGTGTTCCTATAACTGTAAGAAATCAGAATTTACAGTTCAGGAATATGCAATGGTTTCACAACTGATTTTGGTATTCAGGAAGAATTTCAGTGACAGTTTTTCTTTGTCAAAGCTTTGTTTTCCTGGTTTTGCTTTCAAATGGTTTTACTTTCCCATTTAAAATGATGCCTGTTTGCAGTACACTCAAATGAGATGGATTAGCAGGTGGTATATAAATCAATCACTCAACAGTTAAGTGTTGCTCACTTCAGAAATTTTATTTCACAATTAGCTTGCCCACATCTGCTATTGCATGTAGTAGATTTTCAAATTTGGTCATACATTCCAAGGTTAAAAAATACATAGAAAAATGTTGATCTGATTACATCTGGAATGCATTTTCAAAGGAGAAGTTTAATCATATTGTCTATCTCAAGAAGGAAACATCATCTGTTACTTCTGAACCAGTTTCCAGTATATACAAGACCACTTGGGATTTATGCAAGATATGTCATCTGCATCTGTACCTTTTTAAAATAAATGAATTACATCTTCTTATTTTTCAGAGTTTGAACTGAAAATATTTTTTCAGGTATCATGAACATACCTGCAAAGGTGATTTGAATAGGGACCATTATACCTGTGTGCTTCTAACTTCTTAATATGTTTTACATATTCTCCTCATACTTTTATGGATTCCACTGACTATATATACATTCTCTATTAAAAATAAATTCCTTTTTACTTTGTGACTTCATGCTTTGCGCTTTTATCAGCGGTATGATTGTATTCTTTATAGTGCAAGAGCAAATTCTAATTCTGCGTATCTTTTAAAAAATACTTTCTAAGCAGCAGCTCTGGAAGATTTCCAGAATGATAAGTTCTATTATCTTCTTGCTCCCTCTAATTTTTTTTTTTTTTTTTAATAGAATTACTGAACCATAATTGAAAATCATGGAGTTTCAGCCCATTGACATGAAGAATGAGTGCAAGAAAGGATTATAAAATGATGGTTTTTATCCATAAAAACTTAAATCCAAAGCTTTTGGACTTCCCATTAAATAAGAATTTCAGAAATGAAAGGCAAGATGCTCACATTATCCACATCTTAAAAATGTAATCTATAAAAGAAAATAACTGCTGGAAATCAGTCCAGCCACAGTTGTTGCAGTTAGAGTATAGATGAAAAGGGAAGGGAAGAAAAGTCCAAATGATTTTCTTTGCATTCCTTCCAAATTACCGTTTATTATCATAAGCTTCTTACAAGGAAATGGAAGAAAATGAACATAGACTCAGTGTTACTGCTCTTGAAGAAGCACTCGTGATGTTTTCTATGGACTCATGTTAGAGCAACTGCTAGCAGAAATTAGAAGAGAAATAATTACCTTTGTTTCTCCACATTATAGCACAAGGGATGAAAAAAAAGTACCTCTTTTGCAATCTATTTGCAGGTACAGTAGAATCTCAGGTAAATTGGAGATATCAATTGTCACTGGAAATAATAGCTCTTAGTTTCTATTAATTTTGATTAGAGATCGAAAAGTACTTTTACTGACCCTATTTGTACATTTTAATATATTTTAATATTAAATTCACAAAATACAATATTTTTTCACAGTCAATTTGACACTTAACGCCAACTTCCTAATCATAGGCTTACGTGATACACATGAGTTAGCTCTCTGTCTGCTTTTCAGTAGCTTGGAAGAGATGGTGGTGGGCTAACCAGTGCAGGCACCACCTGTTTCTTTATATTTCATTCCCTTGTCTCTCTATGCCTGTCTCAAATGATTCATCTTTCAGAATAATTAAAAACAAGGATGAAAACCTTGTTAAGCAACGTTATTGTGTAAAGCAGAACTTGTTACTCTGGAAATGGGATCTATGTTTAAATTTCCTACTAAGATACTGTACAGCATTTGACATTGCTCCCAGCCATAGAGCCCGTGGTTTTCTGTGACACATCCAGCAGAGGGAACAGTCTGCTCTGATAGATTGCAGACCAGCATTCGGGCTTCTAATTGATGATCAGCTAGGCTTTATTTGGCAAAAGTTTACATAGAAGAATGCCTGCCACTGGCACGTCAGCCTGGAGTGGAGTTTTGCTGCTGCATAACTCAAATTTCAAGATTTATTGTTCTGCTCATGTCTGGCCAGCTGTAGTATCACTGATACTCTAAGACTTTTTACACCCAATCTCTCTAGTTATGAAAAGGTTTGAGAGTATTGAACTTTCCTCTCCAGAATAAAAAGATCTGAACGGTATCACCTGTGTCAGTGCAGATTTTGTCTGAATCAGGAGAATTGAAAGACAAAGGCTTTCTTTAGCACAGAAAGTAATCATAATCAGGTGAAGAGCCCACTCAGGCATGGGGCCATATACACTGCTACCATGAGCTACAAGGAAAGGTGTTATTTTAAAACAGCCCTTTGGGACAAAGCCAGGTTAGCAGAGGACATAATGCTGAACCAACAATGTTCCTACTTGAACAAAATAGCATGGCAGCAGCCAAATCTGATGGTGCGCTTTTTATCCTCTGATAACAAACCCAGACTGTCTAAAGAAATGGAAAATTCTGACACCCTCCATCCTGCATTCAGTTAACAGCAAAAAAAAAATAAAAACCTCTACTTTAATAAATAGTACCTGGAGGAAGTCTTAATATTTGGAGTAAGAAAGAAAATCCTTGGCTTTCTGTTGTTACGTGTTTAATAATTTTACGTCTCCCTGCAGTGACTGCTCATTCTAAGATAAATGACTGAGCAGTGCCTTAGTGCTGACACAGATCACAGTTAACTGCTAATGAAATGTTAACTGCTTTTTAAGTAACTCTGAATAAACTTGCTGATCCGGAGAAGATTCATCTAAAAGAGAATCCAATTCATCTACTAGCTTTTCTGCTTCCACTGACATGAAATATACTCTTCCACAGTTTACTTTATTGCAGTTGTTGTGATAATGTTTGTCACATTTTCTAAGTAGGATACTTTACATTTTGAGACTGTGGCATGATGACAATGTTGTGACATGGATGACAATGTCACTGCATGGAAGTCTGTCCAAAAAGCACTTGGTGGCTAGAAAATTAAAGGGAAAGACACCGGCATGAGTCATCTTTGATTATTTTTTCCCTTAGGCTAGGATTTAACCCATTTACTGCAAAGTATCCAGTTTCTCATGTTCAGTAGTAACATTTTATTATTATTATTATTGTTAAGTCAGTGATGAAGCCAGTTCTCCAGAACAGATACATCTGATAACTCGTTGCTCATCCCGCCATATGAGTATGCAGCAAATGCTACCAAATCAGATTGGTACCAATCTAGGTGACAACAAGAAATCACATATATAACAAAGGAATAGGGAAGAAAGTAAAATCCTGTCACTTATCAAATGAGCAGTGTTGGTATTTGTCATGTGGAATTCAGTGTACCAGTTTGTACAAAAAGCAAAGGCACTTTTTTCCCATTAATAACAGGTTTGCAAGAGAACTGCATGCCTGTCTACTATCAGCCTGATATCTTAACTGCAAGGTATAAAGGACAGCTGCATCCTGGTCTGTCCTGGTTACTTTACGTAGTACTGAAGTGCAAAATGTACTTTGAAAATCAGTGAAAACCTGCAATTGTTGTTCTCAAAAGAAGACAAGAATTGCCTCCACCCGTGATCATTGTTTGCTAAAAGCAGAATCTCAGAAGACATCTTCATTTTGAAAAAAAAACCTGCTCTATGAAAATAGAAGTTTCCTGATGACTTGTTAGCAAACAGACTTCCAGGTGAGATATGGAACATCCACCATCTTTGATAAATGCCAGGTACATTTTTCTAGTACTCTTTAGATTCAGGTATGATGACTGATGAACAATTTTGACAACAGTCTGGAACACTTTTGACTGCCCAATATCAATGGAAGTAACAATCCTAGATATTGACTAGGTCATCAGTGTGTACTGCCAGGATCCAAAGTCTGTTTATGAATAATTCTGCTTTGTATAGCATGAAGTTAACATATATACATCCAGTACAAAAACAGCACAGTGTTGATTTTTACTCCTTGCAGAGTAAAATACACTCTTGCAAAACTACACCTGGAAAGTCAAGCAGAATGGTGAGATGGTCAGATGTGTGCCTCAAGACTTAGAGCATACATGTGGATAGCAAAGCAAGCACGCGCAAACACACGGACAGCCCTGATTCTACAGACTCACACTGCTGCTGGCATAAAGTGATGCAAACCTCAAACTTTTGATTTTGAAATACTCCTCTGAGCCATGCAGCTACCTGGCTGGCATTAATTGGTACCTGCATTCCATTTATCATTACTTTATTTCTGGCTGAATGTTTGCTGTCTTAGGGGAAAACCAACACTAAACAACAAAAAAGAAGTGCTACCTGCTCTAGGTCTGAGTCTTACTGTGTTATTCAAGTTATTCATCAGTGTGATTTCTTAGTGAACCTGAATCTGAATCACATAAGGAAACATTATGAAGGAGAGACACAGATACACGATGTCAGAACTATAAAATTAAATGTTCGTGGTAAAGAAATCACTCTGTATGGAAATTATTTCTAAGGAAACTTCTTTTCCTTTAGCATCTAAGTGCAGTGGCCATATCAGAGATTAATTGCTAGATGATGCTCTGCTGTGATGCTGAAACACCAAGAGGCTGAAGTTGCATTAGGTTATCTCATTAAAAATACTACTAATTGGGGATGCAACTTATGTAAGAGCCCTTTGGTGACCTGCAGTTCTTTAACAGCAGGCGTTGGAGTTAGAACACCCATGGGTGCTCATGCTTTAGGCAGCAGAGGACATTGGACTGAGATGAAGCTTCCAGAGGGCTCACTTCCTCCCTTCCTCCCCGTACTGCAGTGCTGCAGTGCTGCATCTGCCAGATTCAGCAGCAGCATTTAAGGCAGGGCTGTGCTCCTGTAAATAAGAAGAAACAGCTGGGTGATACTGCTATCGGGGGTCCCACAGCTTTAAACATAATCATTGTGTGGTCCTACAGAATCCTTATCTTAACTTTCAGTGCATGCTGCAAATTCTCTCTGCACCCCTTCCCCAAGTTCATATTAACAAGAATGAATTATAAAGCATTTAGCTTACTGATGATAAGTGATGGTGAATTTTGCGATTGCTCTTGGGAAGAGATTTTATTTATCCAGTGCATCTGGACTTTATAGTTGGCTGCAGTTTCTGTAATTTCTTGAAATGTGAGAAGTAAATAAGTTGGCTATTAAAAGAGAGGATTAATGACAGAATCAGCTAGACAGATTATCAATGTCTATACTAATGAATCAAAAGCAGCCTGAAGAGGGGAAATGTGAATATAGAAGGCTCACAGTGATTATTTGGGGAGGGAAGAGATAGCCCTTTGTGATGGACAGTTTCACCTTAAAGAAAGTAGGACAAGACAGTTGGCATAGAAAATTGACAAGGTTGTAGAGGATTATTCAAACTAGAAACAGGAGGAAAAAAAAATCAGCAGGTGTTAAGGAACACTCGGGTCAGACCCAGACATCTGCCGGCACCGTCAGTGTTATGGTAGTGTCTCTGTCCCAAAGAAAGAGAGAAATTATAGTACAACTGGGGAGGAAGCAGTGCAGATCCCATTGTCACAGTGAGAAAAATCAGTGAAAAGGGATTGCCTGATAATAAAAGTAAGAAATACCAACCACTATCCAAATATCTTACAGAAAGAAATGCAAT